ATCAGCCTGCTGAACGCGCTCTCCTTGTCCGCCGCGAGCTGATGGTAGCTGCCGATTTCAGCAACCTTGCCTTCGTTGTTGAGAACGATGATCTGGTCAGAGCGCTTGATGGTGGAGAGACGGTGAGCAATAGAGATGGTGGTGTTGTGTCCACGAAGGAGACCAGCCAGAGCCTCGTTGACCAGAGTCTCCGACTCAGCATCTAGAGCAGATGTAGCTTCATCCAGGATCAGGATATCGGGGTCCTTGAGGAGGGCTCGCGCAATAGCAATGCGCTGTTTCTGACCTCCAGAGAGCTGGGAACCACGGGCACCAACCTGGGTCTCCAAGCCATCGGGCAGATCGCTAATAAAGTTGCAGTTGGCTCTTCGAGCGGCGGAAATGATCTCGAGGCGGCTTGCCCGGGGTTTTCCGTAGGAAATGTTCTCGGCAATGGTACCAGAAAACAGCACAGGCTCTTGTGAGACCATACCAATCCGTCTTCGCAGAGACTTGATATTCATCTTGGAAATATCTTGGCCATTGATGGTGATGATTCCATCAGTAGGGTTGTAGAACCGGAGGAGGAGAGAGGCTACTGTTGACTTGCCTCCTCCTGATGGGCCAACAACGCAGACATTGCTGCCAGATGGAATCTCAAAGTTGATCCCGTTGAAGATCTTGACGGCCGGTCTTGTAGGATAAGCAAAGGAGACATTCGTAAACTTGATGGGACCCTGAGCCGACTTGACTCGAACACCAACGGTCTGGTGGATTCCGGGCCTGCGATCCTGGAGTTCGAATAGTCGACTGGCCGCGCCAACTCCCTTCATGAGCTCGGAGTAGAAACCTGAGAGGCCAAATAGACTGGAGCCTGCAAATGCCGTATACATCATGAATGAGGTCAAATCTCCAATTGACATGGACCCATTTCGCACGAAGCTGCCTCCCACGACCAGCATGGCCAAGATAGTCATGTTACCGGCCCAGCCAGTCGAAGCAAAGAAAGTAGCGGCGATCAGAGACTCCTTTTTGCCAAGGGCAAAGATCCTTCTGATTTGTCGGTTATACCGGCCAATTTCTTGAACCTCACCAACAAAAGCCTGGCTAGTCTTGACGTTGCCAAGACGCTCCTCGGCAATCTTGGTCAAGGTACCCAGGTTCTTCTGAATGGACCTGCTGACATTTCGAATGGCTCGACCGTAGATGAATGCTCCCACGGCGATAGGGGGAAACATGAGTAGCAAGAGACCTGTGAGTTTGGGGCTCGTCCAGACCATGATAGCAAAACCGGCACCTCCACTGAAAAGGGCTCGAAGACCGTCGCTCAGATTCTGAGTCACCGACTTGCCAACAATGACGGTGTCAGAGCTCAGACGGGAGATGAGATCTCCCACTCGGTTCGCATCGAAGAATTCGGCATCTTGAACGTATGTACGTCGGTAAAGCTGGGATCGTAGTCTGGCGACAACACGTTCGCCGACAATACGGAGAAGAACCACTCGGCCAAAGTTGGCCATGGCACCCAGAGTCAGAATCGTACCGAGACCAAAGAAGAACTGGTTCATAGTCAACCCGAATAGGCGGATATCCTCCACGTCGCCTTTGGTAGCAAGATCCAAGATTCGACCGACGGAAAAGGGAATAGACATGGTGACACTGGAAGAGATGACGAGGAAGACAAAGGCGATACCGAGCCATCGAAGCTCTGGGCGCGCGATCTTGATCAGCCGCCAGATTTCGTCCATGCCGGCTTTGGCATGCACCTTGCCTTCCTTGGACAACTTGGCGGACAGATTGACCTGCGCAGCCCGAGCAGCCTTCTCGCTCTTGGTAAACTCATGCTTCTCGTGCTCCTCCGTCAATTCTTGCTGAGCTTCTACCTCAACGGACTTCTTGACGCCCTCCTCGGCCTTGGTTTGGATCTCCCGTAGCAGACGAGGTGCCGTAGAGAATTGGCGCAAGGCATCAGTCACCGAGCCATTCTGAAGAGGCCGAGTCTGCGCTTGCGTCTGGGAGAGCGGATTACGGAATTGGGTGTTGAGCGCCGATGATCGGAAGGCGGCGATAGAGAAGGGCGGCAGTGCGGTTTGGCGGGTGGAAGAGGCGTGGAAGAACCTCGCCTGGAGCGGAGAAGCGTCGGACTTGTAGGGAGAAGCTGACCATGAGCTTCGCGATGTAGCGAGAGACACTTGTAAGGACAGCGGGGAGGTCTCGGCGACGCGTGGGAGCAGCACCCGGCGTGCTACTCCCGAAACCATGATGACGGCGGGGGATTGTTCAGACGCCCACTCAGCGGAGCATGTTCAGAGGCCACGCTGTTTGCCAGGGCAAAGGGGCAGATCAGAGCAAGACCGAGCTAAGCCGTGAGGAATTCGTATGTTGGAAGGACGTAAGAGTGGAAAAATCAAAGTTGAGGAGGTTGCGATGCCGTCATCGCCGCGGCATTTCTCAGCTTCCGATGTTGCGACGGACGAAGCAAACCTCTGTCTGTCAAGGCTCAAAATTTGAGTGGGCCCCTCTATCCTCCATCGCGCCTGTGGCGTCCCTCGGTCGGAGCTACGCGCTCACTGTTCCCGACCGATCCGACTGACCGAATGAACTCGGTTTCTGCCCGAACGTGAAGGGTATAACTCCGACTGAAGGCGGCATTGACTGGACATTACATGTTTCAATTGTTCCGCTTTCGTCAATGGGCCTCTCAGCCAATGCGTAGATAGAAATTGGTCCATTACAAGGCGAGCACTTTGTGCTTCAACTCAATTTCGACCTAGGATACCCCACCAAACTACTTTACAACGGCCATACCTCCATAACATGTCTTCCATGAACCACAACGGATCCAATCTTCCTCCATTTCTTGGAAAATAGGAAATCCTCCTTTTCGGGATATTAAGAATACAGTAAATCTTGCCAAGAAACCCGTGTATTGTCCATTAGTGTCCTCCAACCGAGCTTCAAAAGGAACTTGGAGTCATAATGCTGACTTCCCCTGAACTGATGCTGGATCATGACTTGGACTCCTCCTTGAGCATTTCAGCAACATCAGCATCAATGCCGTCATCTCCTCCCAAATCCGGAAACTCGTCACCATCGTCGACCCGACGCCGCTTGTTGGATCCGTTAGTCGAGATTGGCAGCGACTGGTAAGATGGTGCCTCATCCTCAGCTGCAGTCATTGTAGCAGGCGGGTTACCCTCCGGAGTCAATGCCTCAGGGGTAGGCGCACCGAAGGGTTCCATAGGAGGAGGAGTAAGTGCTTCCATCTCGGGCCTGTCAGGCTCTGGTGGTGTGCCAGAACCCTCTCCCTCTCCTGGAGTGCCGTTGCTGTCTGCCGGACCCAAGGCTCGCATGATGCCCACCTCCACCGCGTGTTTCTTTTCCTCAATCTCCGTCTTTCGGGACGTCAACTGGGCCGCGGCAGCCTTGTCTTGCTCCAAAGCAGCACGATTGGCACCAAGCAGCTTCTCTAACCCAGAGATCAGGTCCTCTCGTGCCTTTACACACTCAGCAACCGCGCTCTCGGCATTCGCAAGCGTCTTGAGAAGACCGTTGAGACGAGCAGCGTAGACGGGGGCTGAAGGAACCGGGGTTGAAGAGTTGGTTTGCTTCTCATACTCCTGGTCTGCTGAAGCGACCGTGGCCTTCAAGGGGATGCTCAGCTTGGTCGCAGTCTGATGAGCAGTCACCAGTGGTGCAAACTCGGCTGGAATGGGAGCTGCACCACCACCGCCGCCACCACCAAAGGGAGAGCTCTTAAAACTGGATTTGGCTGTACCGCGAGCCTTGTCAAGCTCTATACCATAGATTAGCGCTCACTCTGTTAGGTTGTTTTTGCATAACTGACCTTCGATACGGGCCTCAACAGCGGCCTGGATCGGCGTTTCAAAAATTGTCCGGTCCTTCCAAACGTCCACCACGCGCTTGAGTTTCGATTGGAGCTCAGCGGGAGCACCCTTGTACGCGATAGACACAGCTTCCGCGATGATTGGAGCAAAGGCTATGATAAAGTCATCCTTATGTCGAATCTTGGACTGCTGGGCCACCTCTGTTGAATGTTTGTTAGCTGTCGTTGAAAACCTCATAATGACCCATGGCAAACATACCGTTCGCGAGGTAGATCAAGCTTAACCTCTTGGTGCTGGAAGAGTCCTTGAGGCGTTGCAACCAGAGCTGGACTGTACGGTCTGCATGTCTCCTACAGACTTGCATTAGTCCATTATTTCTCGTCCAAGCCGTCAAGCAAGCAGACATACCGATGAAACATGATCCATTGGGCAGCAGTGGCAATGCTGTCGTGGGTCTCAGTGAGCGATGAGAGCCGCGCCAGCACAGAATCATCATTGTAAGCCATGTTGACTGCGCTAGTCCTCCTTGTAGCGAGAAATAGAAATGGATGAGGATGGAGAGAAGCGCAGCCTTAAGCGAATAAAATAGGTGGCGTAGGGTATCAATTTAAGAGCCAACTTGGAGTCGTTGCTGTGGTACCACTTGAATCGTCTACGACAGCTACTTGCAGGGAGATTGTTCAGAGCTCGCGCCAACCGACTCCCTCACGAAAACAGCACTAGTTGGAACGGGTTGCGCTGCGCCTGACCTGAGAATGTTTGCCGTATGACTGAAAGTGATGCGTGACTGAGTTGTGCGATGAAATGAAGTTTTCTCTGGTAAAACCAGGAGAGTTTATAGAACAGGAGCTTGGGCAAGTATCCAAATAAACATCCGCCCGCTAATGCGAAAATAGCTTCTACATGCATGGTTTCATGTGAGCATATGTTATTATCGGATATGAGTGACCCACACGCTAGGCTTCTTTTGGAATTGGGCCTCTCACCGCCCGGCAGATTCCACATCATCAGCTAGGATGGCCTATTTGGCAGGCGGTACCTGAATAGGAGGATCGCAACAACAACAGCAGTGAATCTCTGACGTCGTCGCCTCGCTCATTACCATCTTACCTTCGCCTCTCTGCAACTGTGCACATCTTCTTCGACAAAACAAAACCCTCGCGCATCGATAAAATGGCCGACCGATTCCCATCTCTCGAGGACTTTGATTCGGGGGGTGAGTCCATGACGATGGAGCATGAGAGAGCTGGGAGCTAATGTGAAATGATTAAGCGCAAACCGATATCAAGGACCCATCCGCCGATCCCTCGACTGATGACTTCCTCGCCCGCGAGAAGGCTCTTCTCGGAGACGATGCTGACCAGTTTGCGACCAACGATGACGCTGCTGCCTTTGTCGATGCCGAAGGCGATCTCCTCGGTTCCGGCGGCAATGAGCAGTCAACATTTGAGTCTCAGTTCCCTGACTTGACTCAGCCTGATGCGGTGAGTTCCTTCTTTTGAAGGGGCCGTGGATGCAGATGCTGATACGTGTACGGATACAGGGTACTGGACTTACGCCCGGCGGAACCGCTGTCACTGGACCTTCTGTCAGCTACAACTCGGGATACCAGGCTTACGCTGAGGAAGAGGAGGAGCCCGAGGTTATCAAGGAGTGGCGCGAACGACGGGATGCCCAGATTGCGAAGCGCGTCGAACAATTTGCCGCCCAACGAGAGGAGACAATCAAGGAGGCCCAGCAAAACATCGACGACTTCTATGACAACTATAACAACAAGAAGGAGAAGGGAATCGCCCAGACACGAAAGGAGGCCGAGGAGTTCCTGGCCAACCAGGAGGACACCGTTTCTGGCGGCACCAGCTGGGACCGTATCGCCAAGCTGGTGGATGTCAGCGGCAAGGGCACCAAGGGTGGTGCCTCTGGATCCGGCAAGGAGCGCTTCCGTGAGCTGCTCGTGAGCCTGCGCAAGGACGAGAAGGCGCCTGGCGCCACGGGCTACTAGAGTGAGCTCGCTTGTTTGTCAATCCCCTAATCTTTCAACGGACAGTTGCTGGTCGGTGCAGAGCACTAGACACCATCGTTGATACATGCCGTTTTCCGGCTTTTCCCGTGCTGTATTCTAGAATTTAGGAGTCCAGGTTTAATGGCAATCACGTGTGAATAGATGAACATGGTTCAGAGCACCAGCAGAACGCAGTGACACGATGACAGCTCCGTGGGGATATCATATTGGGTCCATCTCCATCTATTGACACACTCTACTAGTCACATTGGCCACCCATCGTCTCGCAAGCTATAGGACAAGCCGGCCCAGCTCCATCGCTTAGAAGTAGGAGTTGTAGCCAAGGACCTTGCGGCCGGCACCGTAGACGCTGGCTGCATGTTGGTCAGCACTGGGGTTCCAAACTCCAACACATCTCTCGGATCCAATGTAGGAAACTCACCGCCAAAGGTACCCCAGAGAAGGATGAGGTAGGGAGTGAGGAGGACGCGGCTGCGGGGGTTCTATCGGTTCGGTCAGCGGGAAGGTCGGCGGGAAGCGAGTTGATCAATTCGGGTCGTACAATCTTCCACACACGGGTGTGGTTCTTGTAGGCGTTCTGGTAGAATCGCTGGTGCTGAGGCACCTGGTTCTTAGCGTCGACGAGGCTGCGAGAATGTCAGTGACGGATTCTCGTATGATGTGATGATCGGTGCTGTCCGGGCTCGGCAATGGCCATTGGGATCGAAGGAGACGGTTCTGGCCATCGCGAGAGTCGGCTAGGGATCAATTGCACATACCCCATTTTGAAAGAGGTTGATTGAGAGGCGTGGGAGATTCCGATGGTTGGTATCGTGTGGGGTGGTTGAGTGGTGAACGGAGGATGTCGATGTTCGGTAGAAGAAATGAGGCCATAACCTGATTGGAGCCGGAATCAGAACATGACTCAGCATAGCTTTCAGCGTTCCCGTTGGTGGGCACGTGTTAGCGCGACCCATGCATCCATTACCGCGAGCGAGGTCACTGATGCGCGAATCAAAAAAGTCTTGGAGCTCCGGATTGAAGATTTGGATATCCATGCCGAATTGCGAACCTATACTTTTGCTGCTACGACCTTTACATGACCCAATGCGGTGATGTGAATCCAACTGGAGCTGGTGATCTCGACTACCGGCTATGTATCGAATGCTGAAGCGCATTCAACGCTTCCCGAATGCACCGACACCAGCACGAATTTCGTCCGTCTCAAGCCCCCGGTCTTTGAGTATCGCCGTTCGACTCCGATCCCGGTGCCCGGCTCTCGTGCCTCCATTAGCGACACCACGCTTGCCAAATCACTCCACATGCTCTTCGACTGCTGAGAATGCAACAACGCAGAAGAAATGGAGGTCCACAACGTCTGGGTCGCTGAGAATACGCTATGAGGATGGAGCATTGGGGTCACGCGAGGCGAGAGTACCTACGCCTTTGGGTGTACGACTTCGTGGGAGCGGAAACTTGAATCTGTCTGCGCAGAACCCTGTGCTGGACGAGGTATCTGACTGGGAGCGTCGAATCGTAACAACTCGTCACAGTCATGGAGACAAAGGCGTATGGGAGATGTTCAGGGAGCTCCGAAAGACCGGAGAGGTGCACATTATAACTGCACGTCGAGCAGAGTTTCTGCGTGACAATATTTTGAAAGCAGCGTTAACAAACGCAGATCGAATGGAGGAACTTGTCGCATTTGCAGAACAACTTCGCGACGAATACGACTTCAGTTGGCCTGAGCTGTATATGAAAGTGATGCACTTCTACCTCAGCCAAAGCGACTATGACGCTGCATCTCGCTGGCACCTGAAGCTGATGCCGGGCTTTCGTCCTGACCTGGATAGCTTTGGTGCTCTCCTGACCAGCTTCGTCATTGACTTCTCTCCCGATATCCAGAGAACCCTGACGAGGATGTATGTGTTCAGTCCATTTCGTGAGCTGTATGACTACGTTGTGCCGGCTCTCTTTCGCTCGGGTCAATCTCATCCGGCTCGCGTCTGGAGGAAAAGGTTCATTCTTTTCAACGACCATCCAACGTCGTCAAAGTCGAGACCATTCCTCGACTTTACTTCACGGTACTTTCCCACAATTGGTCTTACTCAAGAGGAGTTGAAAATTCTCGGGTTAGTTGGTAGCGATCAAGGTGCCTTGGCAGATTCGACATCCAAGGACTCCCAATCAGACCAGCCCAAGGGCATATACAGCGACAAGTTCACAGCTCGATGGTTTGCGAGCTCCTGGACTTCTTCAGAGTTTGCGATCAATCTCATGCACAAGCTTGGCTTGCGGACCATTGGGCCTCTCTCTCTGCAGTCTGTTGCCCTTCGAGAAGATGACGCCCGTGGCGTATTGGACCGCCTCGCCCAGCTTCAGAAGTTGAGGATTGCCATTGCCCCCAAGCTTTACTGCAAAGCCGTTGTGTCCTTTGCTCAAGGAGGCAATGATGACTTGCTCAGGGATCTGTTACATTGTGACATTCACCCTGATGAGTTCGACGACCCAGAAACACGGCAATTGCTTCTTGCGGCCGCCGCTCGACAGCAGGACTGGGGGCGAGAGCGGCTTCTTCAAGAGGTGGAGGCTTTGGAGGTTTTCACGTCCCAGCAAAGATATTCCCATGCCAAACAACTCAACAATCATCTCCGCGCAATGCTGGCCAAGGAGGATCTTCACAACGTGAGGTTGGTCCTTGATGAGATGGACACATCCCAAGTTAGTCTGTGGCAGAATAACTCGGCCGCGCTGCTACGTCGAGTTTTCAAGGATATCTGGTACCACCCAAAAACCAGCAAACAACAGTTTTACGGGCTCCAGGGAGATCCTCAGCTTGACAGGGCCATCAACCTTGCCTTGCGGGTAGCACGCCACGATGTCTGTATCCCTATCAGGTACTGGCAGATGCTCCTTTACAACCTGGGACGTCTCGGCCGTTTCAGTGAGCTCGAGGCGCTGAGCTTTGAGATCTGCGAACTATACAACCCCGAGTATGGGGGTCTGATCCCGGTTCACTGGAGAGACCTGCCCCCTAAACCGGGTGTAGTGCTAAACAAGGAATCTGAGAGGACGGAGTTGTTGCTAGACCCCCCAGTTGAAGAACCAGTGAAAGGCAAACGAAGCCATTTCCCTGAAGAGTTTTGGAAAGCTGAGATGGGATTCACAGAGGAGGAGCTCAAAGACGACAAGTCTGAGTCGGACGAGAATACTTATGACGGCTGGCAAAAACGGACCAAGAAGATCCAAAAAGTGTTTCGCATACCAGCCGATCTACCCTTTACACACAGGCAGCACCCAGTGCAAAAGATCTTTGACAACAGCCTCCAGCGCGCAATCCTGAGATGGGGTTTTGACAAGACGTTGGCTCAGGCGCCGACGACGCTGTCCCTCATGAAGGTCAAGGAAGCGGGGGCTCAGGACTTTGACTTGGCGTATGGAGTTCGCCTCCTGGCCCTCCTGCGCGACCGGGGCGTCTTTATTGATAAGCAGATTGTGCGGAGTGCAACCATCAAGCGCATTGCTGTGGCACATTTACCTGGACGAGCGAGAGCCAGGGCGAGGGACAATCGGGAGCTCTCACCCGAGAACATGAAGCGTCTTGTGGATGAGGCATGGGGCTCTGAGATTCTCCCTGGAGTTGCTCAGTTGTCGAAAGAGATCGAGAACCAGAAGCCCAAGATGTGGAAGAACTATCCTAGGCTCTTCAAGAAGACCTATGATAAGGACGGAGGTGATGATGAGGAGGAGATATGAAAGGCCAAATAGCCCACATTGTTGACCATGAAACGCATAATGAGAGCTAAATCTAGCCAGTGTAATATTATTAGACAAAAAACCGTGACTCCAAGTACATCGGCGACATGACCCTCATGACCTGCTTTACATTGTAGTGGTACATCCGTGTAGTAAAAGCTGCCTCCTTGAGCACCCCGGATCGCTATATGACCGTAGAGCGTCGGATGGCAGCGGGTATCCTGACATTGTCAATCACCAGACGCCTTCTAGCCGTGCTTCTTGGGCTTGATCAGCAGCAGAATGAACATGCCAAAGATGATAAGAATTAGGAGAAGGATGATCTTTCGCTTGGTCGTCCTCCGTTGGTAGCCCGACGCGACCTTGAGTTCTGTCTCGGCAGCCTTGACATCGGTGTTCATACGCTCGACGTTGTAGTCGATGCGGTCGAGCATTGTGCCCTGGTCGATGACCATGGTCTGGAGATCACGGAACAGGTCCGAGAGCTCAATGATACCCTGAGCGATGTCCTCGATCTCTCGCTCACGCTGGGCGATGGCGGCATCATTAGAGTGTAGCACCCGTTGTTGAGTAGCTTGTTGAAGAGTAGTTTGCGAGAATGAGCGGTCGGCATCGGATTCTTGGAGTGATGGATCGAAATATGAACCCGGTTGGGGAGTGCTGGATCTTTCGCCGACAGGGCTGAGAGCACCGAGGCCACCCATGCCGCGAAGCTCTGTGATACAGGGTTAGATCAAGACGAGCCAAAATTCGGGTGTAACAAACTCTTTAAATATGCGCTTTGCTTCTTTCTGAAGTTGGCACTTGCTTCTTGAACTCTTGAGGCGAGCGAGATTTGGATATTCTTGGCCATCGTTTCCTCGGCCCTTGTAATGGTATTGGAGTGTTGAGACTCACGCACCATCTGCTCAATTCGTTGGATGCAGCGATGGCAATCATGGAAACCTTTGGTGATATCCTGCGTGAGCCTCTCTATCTGAGCCTCCTCCGCCCTCTTGGCGTCCTCATCGTTGAAGCCGGGTAGCACATGCTTCTGATGTAGCTTCTCGAGGCTTTGGCCCTTGGTAGCGATGTTGGCGAGCAAGTCTGTGATCTCATCGGAAACATCGGCCCAGCGAGGGGGAAGCAGGTCCATCTCAATCACGGCGTCGCCATCGTCTTCGAATGCGCCGGCCGATAGAAGGCCGCGACGGTCGTCGTTCGCATAACTGGGAGTGTAGGAGTCGGCAAGGGCGCTGCCGGCAGAAGCGCCGGGTCCATATGGTCTCCGCGGGGTGGGATGGTGCGCGTAAGACTGCCGGTAGGAGATGTATCTGATGCCCAGGAGAATTAGCTTCCGCTCTCACAGCGAACAATGATGAGTTGACAATGGGAGCCCTCGTACAGGTTAGTGCGGTCTCGCCACATGGCGGACGCAGACGGGGATAGGAACGACCGTCAGAGCGAGCAAGAATGCGAAATTGGATCGAGCAGCGCGAGTTGCCAGGAGAGCGTCATGGGACGGTCAATGAAGGTGTCGTTGTCGTCATGAGCGAGGATCGCGAACCGAGTCGAATGCGGGTTGAGGCTGGTGGTACAGTATCTGTAGCTGGCTTTGGCTGGGAGCAGCTGGACTGGAGCATTACGACACAGGATGGAGTCCCATTCGACAGGGGTTTCCGAGGAGTGTCCCTTTCCCTTCTGGGAGATGAGGGTACGTACCCAGTGTCGCGGCTCACCTCAGACGGGAGCTTCCTGCCATGCAGTGACAGCTGAGGGAACTGCTGAAACGGAAACGAGAGGGAGCCGCACAGTGTTAGCAATGGGGAGGCTCCGCACACGCCATCCCCTTCGGCAGTCCCCGCCGCTATGGCGCCTCATGTGCCCCTTTCGCAGAGCTCCGGCCACTGAACAAGCTCCTTGGAAGCCCTGGAGCACCTCCATCATCGCCCCCGGGCCGTGCAAAATACAGTGCATTCTCTTTCCCCTCTCCAGCCGTCCTGTACTTTTTGCCTTAGGTACCTATTATTTCCCCCTGACCTTGGACACTCCCCACGAAAGCTCCAAACCCGTGAAGCGAAAAGGTCCGACTCTCTTGGCTCGACAACCCCGCGACCTCAGAACTTGTCCAAGTCATCCTCCTCCTTTCTCGTGCGATCGACACCCACACTTTTACTATCACGTCTTTTGTTATCACCTACGACCAACATGGTGAGTTGCTACCCATTCCGCCTGGCTGCGCGACGTGGTCGCCATCCATTGTTGTTTACCGCCTTGTCCCCTCTCCCCTTAGTGCCGATGGGCATTGACCCCGCGGCGACTTGATGAGAGGGGCTCACGCTGATGGTTTTGTTGCCATGTTTTCAAGACCATAGACTGACGCAAGTTGTCGTTGTAGGCCGACTCCCTCACCGAAGAGCAGGTCTCTGAGTTCAAGGAGGCTTTCTCCCTGTTCGTAAGTTGTTCTCACTCTCTGTCGCTGCTCTGAGTGGCGATCTTCTGGCAAGGCTGTCGCTAACCTCTTGCGTAGGACAAGGATGGCGATGGTGAGTGATTCTCCCTCCTGCTCGCAAAGCCCCTCGTCGGTCTCAGCCCGATTCTTTTTCCGAATTACATGATGCATCGAACCTCTATGCGCACACTGCTCTTCAGTCGATGCGAATCGTTTCGAGACGGTAAACTAAACGTTTCGCTCTAGGCCAGATCACCACCAAGGAGCTGGGTACCGTCATGCGCTCCCTCGGCCAGAACCCCTCCGAGTCTGAGCTTCAGGACATGATCAACGAGGTCGACGCCGACAACAACGGCACCATCGACTTCCCTGGTGCGTAGAACTTGACAACCCTGGGCCGACAAAACAAGACTGACAATAGTGTCAAGAGTTCCTTACCATGATGGCGCGCAAGATGAAGGACACCGACTCTGAGGAGGAGATCCGCGAGGCTTTCAAGGTTGGCAGGATCATGCTTCGCTGAAGCCTTGATGTGCTAACTCACCGCCAGGTTTTCGACCGTGACAACAACGGCTTCATTTCTGCTGCTGAGCTCCGACACGTTATGACCTCCATCGGCGAGAAGCTTACCGACGACGAGGTTGATGAGATGATCCGGGAGGCTGACCAGGACGGTGACGGCCGAATCGACTGTGAGTCTCTTCCGTCACTGCTGACGACAAGTTGCCAGCGAAGCTTCCAATACTGACCACGACTATAGACAACGAGTTTGTCCAGCTCATGATGCAAAAATAAACGACCTGCTTGATACCTGAACAACCGAATCCCTAGGCATGCCATTTGCATACCAACGCTGGCAGCGAGTGCGCATGGTCCTAGGGAGCACGGGTACTCTTCTTTATTTAATAGCAAAACTGCAAGCGATTCGGAGGACATCTTCGATAGTTGGGCCAAAGTTGTGAGGAGTGACTAGCTTTCCGTGTTTACTCATGTCTCCACGGCTGTTGTTGTCCCATGGTTTTTTATCTACATGGCTCATGAATCATGACAACAGAGCAATTTTTCCACATAATCTTTGATCTGGGCTTTACAGTGTGATTATGTGCGTGTCGCCAGGTTCAAATTGTGACACGCTGACGGCTGACATGTACAGCCAGCCTCATGTTGCAAGACTGTTGAGGCACTCTGATGAGGGGCGGCGAGCGGTCAGAAAGGCCATTTTCAGCATGCACTGAGGAGGATGTCTCTCAGCCCTACAGCCCAGCCCACCTAGGCCTTCTCCGATAAGGGGCTCGGCAAATTGGCCGTATCGTCGGGGCCTAGACTTGAGTGCTTATCTTGATGTGCAATACGTCTCGACAACATCCTACGTGGCATTGAATGGCCAGTCGCAGGGCGCCGTGCTGATGCTCCTGTTCAGGGGGCCAGATGAGCCCTTTGTTGAGAGGAATCTGGGGCGTCTAGTGGATGGCAGCTCGCAGCGCTCCTTGCTAAAGGGATTTGGCTAGGCTCGGAGCAGGTAGCCGGGTCAGCTTACGAGGGACGCTATGCCCACACATGCTCCATGGATGCGAGTCCATGGTGCAAGGGAGGAGCTGGGATCGACCCCACAAGTACGAGTTGATCTCGTGAAGCACGCTGTAATTACAAGGTATATGATGGTGTCGGTGGAAGTTGAAGTGATTGCCGCTCCAGCTGTTGGAGGTTGACAGCACGAGCTGAGATGGAAGAGAAGAGGCATACAGCAGCAGTAGCTTATTCTAGCCGACAACCTGTCCTCCAAGTCTGTCCTACACCTCGGCATGGGTGTCAATATTAGGATGGACGCCAAGCAAGGGCAGCATGAGCGAGCATTGATGAATGGCCCTGTCGTATTTCAAAGGCTGTGCATTCCATTGCACGTGTTAGACAGCTCGTCGCAATTTGTGTTCAATAGCCACCAGCCACAGACACTGGCACTGGCACATCAGACATGGCATGGCATGGCTGGCGTTGGGCGAGAACAGGCCCGGTCTGCGAGAAGAAGGATGCCTTGGCTGCCCTTCCCTTCCCTTCCCTTTATACGAGCTCCGGCAGGAAAAGCCGCGAGGTTCAGCCGCTACCAACTTAAGCTGCCTAGGCTCGGTTCGAGTTAGATGAGGCTGATTCTGATTCCCGTCCCTTTGCTCCTAGTTGAGACAGACACATCACATCGCGAAAAGCCCAAACTTTTCTGACAGCTGCAACTGCAACGTCCCCGTACCAGTCCCCGCGCCTCATCTTCCTCAGCCTTTCCCCGTCTTGGGCCTGCCATGTGAGGTCCTGAATTGCGCCTCCCTCTCTCTTGTTGACCCTGCGTCGCCTCTCGGGGGTTTTGCCCGTGTACTACAAAATGGTCGGCCCTCTTCGTCGTGGGCGCCTCTGGCTTGGTGTCGCGTGCGTCTGGATCCTGTGCTTTTGGTATCTGTCAAACTCGGGCTCCTTTACTCTATTCAGCGAGGAAGATCCCCTCGAGGGCAAGGGTCCCAATGCCTGGACGCGACGGCCTGCAAAGTATCCCATCGCGACCGATAAGTTGGCCACATTACCCAAGGGCGGCGCCAATGTCAAGATCCCCCAGATCCAAGCTGTCCCGCCCACCGAAAACGCCGTCGCCAAGGAGCTTCGACTGACCCGTCTGACCGCTGTCAAGAAGAGCTTTGAGCACAGCTGGAGTGGCTACTCAAACTACGCGTGGATGCACGATGAAGTGACCCCTCTGACCGGCAAGTCAAAGGATCCTTTTGGTGGATGGGCTGCCACCCTGGTCGACTCTCTCGACACGCTATGGATCATGGACATGAAGGATGAGTTCACAAAGGCTGTCGCCGCAGCAGACGGAATTGACTTTACAAAGAGCTCGATGAATTCCATCAACATCTTTGAGACTACCATACGTTACCTGGGAGGTTTTCTCTCAGCTTATGAACTCAGCGGCAGGACTCATGCCACTCTCCTGAAGAAGGCCATCGAGGTTGGCAACCTGATTATGTGCGCCTTTGATACTCCCAATCACATGCCCGTCACTCGATGGGAGTGGAAGAAGTAAGTTATCCCTGCTTATGGAGTTTGTTCATCTTCTCACACTTGATTTAGGGCTGCATATGGACAGCAGCAGTCAGCATCGAGGGAAGCTCTCGTTTCGGAGCTTGGCTCTCTGAGCCTGGAACTCACCAAACTATCTCAACTCACCAACGACATGAGATATTACGATGCGGTGAAGCGAATTGGTGACCAGTTTGAGTCTACGCAGCTCAACACCCGTCTTCCCGGCATGTGGCCCGTCGTCATTGACGCTTACACGCCTACCTTCCATGCGGGCACCGACTTCACCCTGGGAGGCATGTCAGACTCATTGTACGAGTATCTGCCCAAGCAGTATCTCCTTCTTAACGGCCAAGTTGACCAGCCGCGGCAACTATATGAGAACTTCATCCCTGTCGCCATGAAGCATCTGTTCAGGAGGGCACTGACGCCTTGGGAGAAGCCCATCATTATCTCGGGTGACTACCAGGTTACAGATTTACCTGGTGAACAGCCCAAGTATAGCTCAGTCCCCCGAGGCCAGCACCTGACCTGCTTTGCCGGCGGCATGGTGGCAATGGCTAGTCGCATCTTTAACCGCCCAGCCGATCTCGAGATTGCTACACAGCTCACAGAAGGCTGCGTCTGGTCTTACCATGCTACACAGACCGGACTTGGCCCAGAAATCTTCCACTTTATCCCATGCGGGAATGCCGATACACCAGCGACCAACGACTGTGTCTGGAGTGAGGAGAGGTGGCTCAAGGCCGTCGAGGAGCAACATGCCTCTGAATTCAACCCCCCACCGATGAGAGCATCAGAGTGGAAGAAACCTACTGTCCAGGATATCGTCAAGAAGCACAATATCCCCAAGGGAATGACGGGGGTGACTGACGGACGATACATTCTCAGACCGGAGGCGATCGAGTCCATCTTCATCATGTACCGAATTACCGGTGACTCGAGCTGGATGGACAAGGCGTGGACCATGTTTGAGACGATTGAAAAGGTCACGCGAACAGATATTGCGGCGTCGGCGGTGGACGATGTGACCAAGACGGAACCGGTCAAGATGGACAGCATGGAGAGTTTCTGGCTGGCCGAGACGCTCAAGTATTTCTACCTCATCTTTAGCGAGTTCGACGTAATCAGCCTGGACAAGTGGGTGCTGAACACGGAAGCGCACCCACTGAGCCGCCCAGATGTACAGTAGGCAGTGAGGAGACATGAATATCAGGAGGAGGAACATGCATGGAGATGGATAATGAGAGGCATTGGGTTTGAGAGGAAGATGGAAACGGCCGAGATCCTATAACAGTGGGCTTGGCGTGTAATTTAGTCTTTTTTGTTCATGTTGAAATTATGCAGTCATAAGCCATGGCATTGATTCTATATCTGCGCTTTTCTATTCGACCATATGACCCATTAGAGATGAACATTTAATTCATCAATCCGTCTTGATAACTTCATTCAGCTCATGGCGGATGACTAACAGAGGTAGGTCGCCAAGGGGTTCAGGCTCGGGGGCAGTGGAGCCCGTGCCCGTGCCCGTGCCCCACGTTGAAAGGTGTCCGCCGCCGCAACGCAAGCAGAAGCACAGCACAGCAGCACACACCGTCACTAACCCGTGACGGCGCAACCTACCCTCTCTTTAAACAGCTGCCTTGAGCCAACAGCAAGGCTGCAAATCACCACCTCGACCACCATCCTCTTGTCGTCCTTCTCAAGGCTTCATCTGGATATTTGCTCCCTGCTGGACCTGATTGAGCTTCTAGCCACCTTGAACCGCTCTCTCGACGACCCCTGGATAAGCATCGACAAGACGGCCCAACCGCTGGGTCGTTCTCCTCAAGATGAGTTCCCGTACGGCGCCGACGTCCCTGCTCTACGAGCCATCCCCCCGCGACTTGATCGGACAAGGACTTACTTTGTGTTTCTACCTGGCGCAGTGAAACAGTTCATTCGAAACGTGCGTGCGGCCAAGACGATTGCCGACGAGCGAGCTGTCATCCAGAAGGAGAGCGCTGCAATCCGCGCCAGCTTCAGAGAGGAGAGCCATGATCATAACATTCGGTGGGTGCTATGTGCAGCCTGGAGGACTGCTGGCTAGCAATGCTATCCTGGGGCGTTGTAGTGCTGACTCTGGGATAGTCGGAACAATGTCGCAAAGCTGCTCTACCTCTTCACCCTCGGAGAGCGAACCCACTTTGGACAGATCGAATGTCTGAAGCTCCTGGCCTCGCCTCGATTCGCCGATAAGCGCCTAGGACACCTTGCTACCAGTTTGCTGTTGGATGAGAACCAGGAGGTTCTGACGCTTGTCACCAACTCACTCAAGAAGTAGGCCCATGCCATAACCCCTGATGTAGCCAACTGGCTGCTAACCTCTGGCCCAGTGACCTCGGACACTCCAATCAATATGTCGTCGGCCTCGCGCTCTGCACGCTGGGAAACATTGCGTCGATCGAGATGTCGAGAGATCTCTTCCCCGAAATCGAAAACCTCATTTCCACCTCCAACCCATACATTCGAAGAAAGGCTGCCCTCTGCGCCATGAGGATATGTCGCAAGGTGCCGGATCTGCAGGAGCACTTCCTCGAGAAGGCGACGCAGCTTCTAGCGGATAGGAACCACGGTGTCCTGCTCTGCGGACTGACCCTGGTGACCAGCCTTTGCGAGGCGGATGAGGAGGAGGGCGGAGAGGAGGGAATCGTTGAGAAGTTTAGGTCCTTTGTCCCTGGACTCGTCAGGACTCTCAAGGGCCTCGCGACTTCAGGCTACGCACCCGAGCATGATGTTACTGGCATTACGGATCCCTTCCTGCAGGTCAAGATTCTACACCTCCTGAGGGTCCTGGCTGTGGGCGACGCCGAGACCAGCGAGCAGATCAACGATATCCTAGCACAGGTTGCCACTAACACGGAATCGTCCAAGAACGTCGGTAACTCGATTCTCTACGAAGCCGTCCGAACCATCCTCGACATCGAAGCCGACTCTGGTCTGAGGGTACTGGGTGTCAACATCCTGGGCAAGTTCCTTACCAACCGCGACAACAACATCCGATACGTGGCCCTCAACACCCTGATCAAGGTGGTCGCCATCGAGCCCAATGCCGTGCAGAGGCACCGAAATACGATTCTGGAATGTTTGAGAGACCCCGATATCAGCATTCGACGCCGAGCTTTGGATCTGAGCTTCACCTTGATCAACGAGACCAATGTCCGAGTCCTAATCCGGGAGCTATTGGCCTTCCTTGAGGTTGCCGACAATGAGTTTAAGCCGACCATGACCAGCCAGATTGGCATTGCTGCCGACAAGTTTGCGCCCAACAAGCGATGGCACTTTGACACTATGCTTCGTGTCTTGTCGCTGGCCGGCAACTACGTCAAGGAGCAGATCCTCTCGTCGTTTGTCCGTCTGGTCGCCACTACCCCTGAGCTCCAGACTTATGCGGTGCAAAAACTGTACATCAACCTCAAGAAGGACATTACCCAGGAGAGTCTGACACAGGCTGGCGCCTGGTGCATCGGCGAGTACGCGGATGTTCTCCTCAAGGGTGGGCAGTATGAGGAGGAGGAGCTTGTTCAGGAGGTCAAGGAGCACGAGGTTGTTGAACTGTTCTCCCTTATCCTCAACAGCGCCTATGCCACGCAGGTCTCTACCGAGTACATTGTGACGGCACTCATGAAGTTGACAACCCGATTCACCAATGCCGCTCAGATCGAGAAGATTCGACGACTTCTGCAATATCACCAGACAAGTCTTGATGTTGAGATCCAGCAGCGAGTGGTTGAGTACAACAACCTCTTCAGCTTTGACCAGATCCGACGGGGTGTTCTCGAGAAGATGCCCATCCCCCAGATCAAGGAGGAGTCGCGAGTCCTTGGACCTGCGCCCACAAAGAAGAAGGCTGCCAACCGGAAATCACGAGTCATTAAGCCGACGGAACAGGATCTCCTTGATATCATGGACGCGCCAGCTGCCACGCCGTCTAACGCCCCCTCGACGACCAACACTGATCTTCTGGCTGACATTCTTGGCGGCACCACCTCTCCTCCTCCAAGCTCAACCTCACCGCCTCCTCAGCAATCCAATGTTTCATCTATCATGGATCTATTCGGTTCTGCTCCTGGATCTGCTACCGCGTCTCCCGCTCCCCCTGCATCATCAAGCTTCGACCTCATGTCTGCTGCTTCCTCCTCGACCCCTCAGCCCCAGGCACCGGCAGCGCCTGCTGGCATCCCCTGCTACGACAACAACGATCTCAACGTGACGTTCCAGATCCAGCGCAACGCTGAAGGCCTTATCCAGGCTACTGCCAAGTTCCGCAACACATCGGGCGCGGCTGGCCTGTCCAACGTGTCGCTGCAGGCTGCCGTTCCCAAGTCCCAGAAACTTCAGCTTCTGAGCATCTCTTCCTCGGATATTGGACCTGGAGCTGAAGCCACCCAGATGATGAGGGTGTCTGGAAGCAAGGGGGTAAGTTCTATACATTTCCTATGTCATACTGTCAATATGCTAATAGTCTTTGTAGCCTCTGCGACTCCGTCTGAGGATCGGATATACACACCCTGCTGCTGGACAGGTCATTGAGCAGGTTAACTGGACAGAGCCTGCTTAGAATCTAAGCATGGAACTGTCTGTGTATATGAGTTGACGGGCACTGGATGTCGACAAGGTAATGTGGCTCGGGGGGCCATGACTTATAGGAGCTGGAGCTTTTTGGGGGGGAGATGGAATCCTAAAACGGACGGTAAAGCATCAATTCTTGTTCATTGCAACAAAATTTCAATAATTAAACTCGTTTGAAATGTCGAGCACTGTTGATGTTCCATACTGGTGCATTGTGTGTTTCTTGCCTTACTCAGCTTGACGATCGATCGATTGGCTTTGGAGTCTATGACTTGTGAACCCCCACAGTCAGTGACACAAGACTGCATGCAAGCCAATTATTGTTGTTTGAACAACTCTCACTTGTAACAACCTCTATTCATGCCTTTCAAGATACCGCTATCGTATAGACGAGTGCTTTCCTTGTATCAGAGTTCAACTATTCGTCCTGTCAAGTCCTTCGTGGTAGCCATGTCGACCAACCGGACTACTCATATCGAGCGAACGGCTCAAGAGCCTCGCGATGAGGTTGGTATGCCTGTTACAATGGAGACTGAATGCTCACATAGCTCGTAGAGTCTCCTACCTGTAAAGCTCAGCAAGATAGAGCAGGTCAATGAGGGAATCCGGTCATTCCATCTGCTGCTCCCTCGACCCGTCAAGGTACGTTGAAGTCAAGCATGAGATACCCATAAGAACCTCACTGATTGTATGCAGTTCTCTGCCGGCCAATGGCTCGACACATACGTCCCCGGCGCCGACAAGCCAGGCGGCTTCACCATCACGTCTCGACCATCAGATGCCTCCTCCGCAAACGAGCCGTACGTTGATCTCGCCGTGCAGGCGTCTCCCGAGAACCCGCCCGCCGCATGGCTATGGCAGCCGCCATCTGAAATCCTGGGCTCGACGCTCCAGGTTAGAGTAGGGGGGAGCTTTGTCTTTCCACCGCAGGATGTGTCTATGGATGGGATACGTCGTGTGGTGTTTGTTGCTGGGGGTGTTGGCATTAATCCGCTTGTTAGCATGATGGGACACATCACTGATGGAGAACATGACGTTGATGTAAGAGTTCTATATGCTAGTAAGGTGCCCAAGGGAGGACTCAAGGAGGTTCTCTTCTTGGAGAGGATTGCTGGTTGGTTTGCTCAAGGGAAGCTCAAGGGTGAGCTAAAGGTCTTTGCAACGGGAGGAGCAAACAAGGAGGTGGGGAACGCTGGGTTCCAGGTGCTGACTAGACGGTTTGGTGTTGAAGATATTAGAAAGGCTGTGGGTGAGAAGCCGGATGAGGGACTTGTGTATGTGTGTGGGCCTCAAGGAATGACGGATGAGCTTGTTGAAGGCCTTACAGGAGAGGGAGGCCTTGACAAGAGACGCGTCCTTGTAGAGAAATGGTGGTAGACTCGTTATATGAGGTTACAATAGCCAATAGTCGAGTAAAGGGTAACTCGAAATATCAAGATGGAAGCTAATCGTAAAAGGCAACATTGGAGACAAAGACGAGACGAGACAATCTGCCCAGACTATGGCTGCTGATTTTATTGCGCCGTGGTATCGTATCAAAACCAATCTATTCACCAATATGCATGCATGCACAACCCCAAGTCCAAGTCCAGCCCAGCCCAACTCAATGCATCCGTATAGTTGACCCAAAGCCCCCATTTCCTCGCCCCCCGTCCTCCTAGGAAAAGAGATCCTCAGCCTTCTGCCGCTGCTTAGACCTTCCACCGCCAAACAGCTCCTTGCCCGCATTGCTCCCGCCCAGCTTAGAAGGGAACAGTTCTCGAGCATTGGCTCCCGCAGCTCCCTTGATGGAGAAGCCTTCGCCGCTGCCTTGCTGGTTCGCCATGCCGCGTATGTTAAACGCGCTGCTGCCGCTGGGCTTTGTGGTCGGCACTGAAACGATCTTGGGGCGGTCCTCTTCCCTCAGGCCCGCCGATCCTATGGCTGCCTCGAGATGGTCCAGGTTTCCTCCGCCAAACTGTTTAATAGACGATTTGACCGGGAATAGCTCCTTGGCGCCGTTGTCTGCTGATCTGCGATCCTTGAGAGCGCGTGCCCTGTTTCTGTTGCCGGAAGAACTCGCTCGCTCGCCCATGAGGTCGTCACCGTCACCGTCACCGTCGCGAGCCGGCGACGCAGACCGATCTCGCTGTGACCTCCGGCCAGTAAAGAGTTCTTTTCCTCGGTTCTCGCGAGCGTATGAGCGCGGTCGTTCATCTATCAAATCCGAATCGCGCCTTCTCCGTTCCGGTCGGGGCGCGTCGTCGTACATGCTGGCTTCATAAGTTTCAACCTCGTCGTCCGAGTTGCGTCTCCGTCTGCCGCCACTGTTCCTGTGGTAATCACCCTCGCGGTCTCGATACCTGGAGCGGTTCTCCTGGTTGCGTCTGCGCCGCTCTTCGGGGTCGTGTTCCGGATGGAGGAGGTAGTATCGACTTCGGAGGGCGGCGCCGGCCTGCTTCCTGTCGCTCGCGACGGCGAAGCGGATTTGGAGAGAAATCTCTGGCTTGCCCTCGAGGGGCTTCGCGGGGAGGGATTCGCCAATGGCTAGGGCGGTGGCGTCGGCCACGGGGACAGAGCTCAGCGCGACAATGGCGTCGCGCGCCGTGGGCTCGGAGGGGAAGAGGAGGTTGGCGGACGAGTCGTCGATCCATTCGACTCTATCCACGTCGCCGAAATGGGCCTTGACGTAGGCTTTGATGTCCGAGGTGTGCAAGCTGTCGACACCCTGGAGGTGAATCTTGTTGGGGATCAGAGTCTTGGAGTCGTCGGTGGTCGTGGGCTCGTCGTCGGCGACCTCGCCCGGTTCCTCAGGTTCGTCGGGCTGCTGTGATGGGGGTCAATTCCGTTTGTCGCGGAGCGAGGCAGAGCGGTTCAGTCTTACTAGGATGTCATCGCGACCGAGATCGGCAACGGGCGCGTCGGGGGCCGTGTCGACGGCGTCGTCCATCTCGATATCGAGATCCATGGTGGTGAGGCTGCGTGTGGATGTTAAGCGTGGAGGAGGAGCGAGTTGTGAGGTGTAGCTGAAGAGAGAAGAGATGAACAAGCTAAAGGAGCATTGACTAATTCGCTCTGCAGTGTGCGATTAACTGTCGAGAGCAAATCTATTATACAGGCCGTGATTCAAGATGAAAGAAGGATGTGAAAAGGCCAAGGTTGAGGCTGATGTCCCGTTTGGAGGTTGTCCCAAATGGGCCGATCGGAGCAAGAGCCCGGCTTCTCCGCCGCTAAGCTTCCAGGTGCCCTCCGCGCTGTAGGTACCCGCTGAGCCGCTACAACTTGGGACGTCCAAACCGTTGATACTCTAGCATCACAAACAAACACTTCCCATTGGATCCAATGCTATGCCGTTGACGATCAAAAGTTGGGATGAAAGAACTGGTTCTTGGCTTTTCAAAGATCGCCTCAACACCCTGGTTAAAGTTTGGAGAGTGCAGACTGCCTTGTGACGATGCCCTCACAGGGATGCCACGTTGATCTCAGCCTCATCGTCTCTGGCTGCATGAAACAACGACAAGGCTCCCTCCCCATCTTACAAGGCTGTAGGGATTTCGAACGGTTGAATTACACTTTGGCATGGTGGGTGATAGCATACGATGACTCGTCGGCAAACAAACTAGGCTTGATCCTGAGCCAGCAAGCAAGAAGTGTGAAGTGCTGTCATGTCTCTTCACGGCCAGATATCACCCCCTTGATGATGAGGATTGGATACATATCTGCAGCCACACGTGACGACAAAGATTATCTAGGCGCCTCAGATGTCGGCCTCAGATGTCCAGGGCCTTTCTGACATCTATGACAGACACACCGAGGTGTCTAGATATATCAGCATAGCCCTAATGCAAACAAACAAACATAGTGCACGCAGGTAATGTTTACGCCCGACGTCATGGCCGAGAGCAACTTTATGCCGGCAGATCCAATACAAACGGTCATAAGGCGGTCTGGGAACATGAACAAAGACGGGATGCCCATCCGGCTCTCCGGAACCGAGATAAGCAACACGGCAGTTTGATTAGAGTTCTTTGGGTACAAAGGGACCGACCCTTGTAACTATACGCGACTGAAAAGAAAAAAAGCCATGACCGCCTCTGTTTGAGGCTCACCGACCCCCACCATCCGTGATAGGGCCCGTTTGACGGCGGGCGGGCGGCATGGGAGAATCTCACCTTGGCCCTCATGCCGCCTCAGGAAGAAAAAAAGATCTAATCGGCCCAATGAGGCCTCATTCCTGCGGTGCAGGGGTTCTATCTGACACTGGTGGCTGAGTGGAAGCGATACCACCCGAGGGCGGTATGGCGTTATCTATTGTCAAAGCATCTCAGCCAAGCTGTGTTGTTGTCGCCGTGGTGAGAGGAAACAAAGGAGACCAATATCATTCCAACACATGTCTTGGACCAGGGCGGATACACCGTCATCTCTCGTATCATCACTCGTGAGGCTCTGTTTGTGAAACATGAGGCCCCTCGTGGCAAAATCGGTATCGTTTCGTAGCGTAGCGTAGGTAGCAAGCAAAGGCTCAAACATGAGGAATCCTCTTCTTCCTATGTGTACATGTACAAGTTTCGGGATGGATGTTCCAACCTCTTTTCGTCTATGCTTCTAATCAAATCCAAACCCAAAAACCAAATCCCTTTATCCCAAGCCATACCATCCCGAAAAAGAGCGAGCCTTTCTTTTCTGTCAAAGACGGGCCAGTGCAGTGCCCGAGGTATCTCAATAGTAGTTTCCCAAAAGTGTCTGAACGCCCCAATTATATGCCCAGTGCAGAGAAAACCAGTCGCTTTCATAATCCCTTGGTGTCCCTTTTCTAATGCCCGTGAGTGAAATCGCAAAATGGTGTTTAGTTGTCGGTGGTGCCGTGCTCTCGTCCTGATCCCTCCTCATCCTATCGCGCAGTCTCGACTCCGCGTCGCATCTCTAGTCGGGACGACTTGCACGTCCGTGGCAGTTTCGTGAGGGGTCCTTCTGGGTCGTCCAGGCTTGATGAGCATGATACTTCAGACATGCTGCGCTTCAGCCCTTTAAAGGCTCCAACGATGTTGCCGGCAGGGGGTGACTCATCACCGCCCTCGTCACCATAGTGATCTCTGGATGATGGGTCTTGGTCGTCTTTCTGGTCGAGCACGACGTCGTGCTCCCATGCAGATTCGAGCCCCTCAAGGTAGATGGGCGATCGCTTCAGGAAGTTCCACGACAGCGTGTCGTGCTCCATGGCAATGTACAACGAGTCCATCTTGCCACTTACGTCGAGGACGGCACAGTGCTGTCGAAGGAAGGCCCTATCGTATTGACCGTGCATGAAAGAGGGTTCCAGTTGACGAAGCATGGGCAAGCCTTGAAGACGCTCGGCATCGCATAGCTTTGCTTGCAGAGGCATCCACGGCCGGCCTTTGAGTAGGGATTGAAAGGCCCGCGAAACGGCGGTTGTGAAGGCGTGGGCATCATCACCTTCCACTGCGATCATTCGGTGTAAGCCACGGGATAGACATCTCTTGTATGAGGTGGTGTCCTTTTCAAATGGAAATGGTTGTTCTCTGGAGGGCATCAGGGAGACATGGATGGTCCACGGTCTCAAGGGTCCAATAGCTGGGGAACGAAAGGTCTGGTTAGGTTGTGGGGGGTTGATAGTTTGTTGTTGAGTGTTGATAGTTGTGGGCGATAGGTGTAAGGGTTCAAAAGGTGTGTCGGCAGAGTCGATATCTTGAGGCGGTGATAGTAAGGGCTCGGCACTTTCCAGCTTCTCGATTCTCTCCTCCATCATTTCGTCGCTATCCAGTAATTCCAGCTGACGGTTGACCAAGTCGTCCACCTGTATTCCCGTCTTGGTCATCTGCTCGTCATGCGATTGGACGGTTTCCTGCAGCTTCTTGACTGTCTGCTCCAACTGGGAGACGAGCTGCCATGCGGCCGAGGCATTGCGATAGGAGCCCTTGAGTTCAGCTGAAGCTTCCTCCTTGTTCTTCTCAACAGTCTCCTCCAACTCGCTGATGCGAGAGATCAGGCCTGAGAGGCGATCATGGTCGTTCCTGTCCAGGCTCTCTTCGATCTCCCGGACGCGTTGCTTGATGAGTTCAATTTCGGCCTTGTTCTTGATAGGCGAAGGCGCGTCCGCCGAAGGGACATGGAAGCAGGATAGATGGCCGCAGTGGCATGTGGCACCAGGAAGCGATTTGTTGTGGTCAAACCCCATGCAGCCGCACCGCTGGCCCTTGAGCTCGGGGATCATGAGGATGTAGCGACATTGTCCCTTTGGTAGCTGAGACTCGTCGAGCTGCGGCGTCGAGGCCGGTGGGGGAGAGCGAGAGGGAGACGGTGACATTGGGGTTCGTCGAACCTAGGCGTCGATGAGAGGGATCGAGGGCGAGATACGTCGTCCATGGAAAGTTCGGCGGCAGTGGGAGCCAGATATGAGATGGAGCGCGGAAGGGAAAACCCACAGGGCAGCAGGCGGGCGGCTCTAATCATAAAGCAGGGCGATGTCGAGATTCGAGCCCCAGGGATGCTGGGTTGAGCGATTCCGGCCAACCGTGTTAGCAGAGTACGCAGACCAGGTCTGCGGGTCAAGCGATTCGAGGCGACTGAATGTCGAGTCGAGGCGGGCAGAGGACGACGGGAAGGGCGATTGCGAGCGATTGCGAAATGCGGCGAGAGGTATCTCGCTAGCGGACCCGAAAGGGTGCTGCTGAATGGGATCCACTGCTGCGACGTTATCATCCGCTCTCGCCATCAACGTCGACGGGCAACCCACGAATCCCAGACCGGTTGCGCCCGCTGGCTGGCTGATGGCATCACAACTCCCACGTCGAGACCCGCAGGGCCATGGCACCACAGGCGACGACGAGGGTGGGGGGACGCGGCCAGGACACGGAGAGCCCAGTACAGTACGTAGCCCAGCGGAGCAGCGCAGCCCCAGCCCGGCCCAGGCAAGGCAAGGCAAAGAAAGGCCCGCGATGGGCAACGAGGGACAAACGACAGGCCCACGCAAAGGGACCCACGGTCAAGTTCACCACGGGGACGTGCTGGTAGGACCTTGAGGGCTTTGGAGGGGCCGGGAAGGGCCCACGGAACGCCGAGAGAACACCCACCAGAGGCAGAAGAAAGGATCTAAGGGCAGAGCTAGGGGCACGGAGAACTCAGGGGATGCAGTAGAGCCCCAGCAAAGACCCAGAAGACCCAGATAGCGCAGACGTCTTGATTTGCTGCGACGCGCCAGCTCTGGTCCAAAACTGTCCCAGCCCGCAGGACCCTCAGACCCTGGGCGCGCGTGTACGCTCTGTATTGATGGGCAGAAGGGCGATAAAATTTTCTTTCTTCCCTCGGATGGACGCCCACCCACACCTTGCACTGATTGATAACCCGTCCACGCTTGCTTGGCTGGACCCCCCCGGACCCCCGACGCCCCCCCCCCCGGGCTCCCATGACCCTTTGGCCCCTTGCCGGTCCTTGGTTCTCGGTCCCTGGGTGCCTGTGTGTCTTATCCCATGTGTATTCCCGTCATGTTTGGGGGACCACAAAGAAAAGGACAATGGATGGATGGGTGGTTGCGTGCAAGTTGGGGGCGGCCACGCGGTGGTGGTCGTGACGGGCGCAAGGGGTTGAATTCTTCGAGCCAGGGCTCTTGCACCATGAGTTGCGATCCATGGTCGGGATTGCGCTGGTGATTGATGGGACGCTTGGGTCGAGACAAGAGACGACAAGGGCGGGCCGCCTTGAGCTGATTAGCAGACGCTCTCTGGATGGTCCACCCCCACACCCTTTTGGATGCCAAGATTGGCCTGGCCTCCTGCTCCTGGTGTTGATGTTGACCTCTTGTGGCTCTTCCCGCACCCGCTTGCGCCTGTTGATCTCTCTGGTTCTCGCGGTCCCCGTTCCGTAGTATCGCGGGACCTGATTGACGGGAGGGCGAAGCCGTCATCGGTGTGTCACACTTCCCCCCAACGCCCGCCCAACTTTACTGCGCTGTACCTTACTCAGGTCGCTCGTAGAGTCGGCCCTAAGGGCGTTATTTCTTGGCTCTGCTTCCTTTTTAAAGTCTCCCTTCTGCCCTTCCGTCTGCACTCTTGGCTCCTTGGCTTCTCAAATGCCGCCGTTATCGACGCTGCCATGGTTGATGCAGGGTTATCAAACAAACTTGCTCGTTTGGGCTCACGTCCGCCAAGGTTCGCACCAGCGGGTCTCTTTGGGATGCATTCCGAAGTCGGTATTGCAATGCGTACGTCGTAGTCTTGATGTCTCCATCCTCCATGGATCCATGGCCATGGATCTCTCTCTGGAACCGGCTGGACTCGGTACGGTGTGAAATCCCCAATCTCTCTTGTGTGCGGATTCGTGGACACGAGAGCTTGGACCAAGGCAACCCAACCCGCCATCGATCATGATCCCCATCCGTGAAAGCTCCGAGCGGAAGCGCAGTACGTAACGGACATCAGGGTGGGTGGTCGTGGGTGATGACTGTGGGCGGGAGTGCCACTGGGAGTGGGAGACTGTGGGCCGCTGACTGCCTCGTCCCTTGACACACCCACAGCGCGCCTCTGCAAAAGAACTTGTTTGCGCCCACGTGCAGTCCCCTGTGGCGGGCCCCCTTTGACGTCGTCTCGCGATTCTTATGCAATCTGGCGGAGCAGTTTCGGGTCTTGTTTTGTTGTCGCTGTTACTGTACAGTATACGCCACGCCGCCGAGCCGAGTTGTTATTACACCATATCATGGGCAATTTTGGGGCCACTGTTGCCTCCTTGCTCGACACTTATACAGACTGCCTGTCTCTCCTCAAGCGTTTCCGCAGCAATCGTCATGAAGCAGCTGCCAGTGCCAGCGAGACCCGCTCCGAGCTGAGCAGCTCGCTTCGTTCTGATAGAGCCCGAATTCGCCGAGCATACTCGTCGCGCCTCTCGCAGAATGGTGCTCGGTTTGAAAAGGGCGATGGTGAGTCATGCCTGTGTATATTTGTGAAACCACATGAGCCGTGGATCTGAAGCATGCCCCAGCTCCTGCGCGATCTGCTCTGAGACGCATCGTAAAGAAGCTCACCACCGCCCTGGCCAATGTCGTACATGCCCTGGGAGGACATGAGCATCAGCCGGTCGACTACGAATCCCTCATGGCGTTGTCGAATGGTTCGAGCCTGGATGCCATTCGTGCCATGAACGGCCTGTCGAGCAGAGTCGGCTCAACGGTAAGCTCCAGATCCCGGGGCAGCGTGGTTAGTAGGGGGAGGCAAAAGTCTCGCCGAAATGACCAGCAGAGAGAAATCAGATCTCAGAAAGGCTCAGGAGGGCGGTCCAAGCGAGACAAGACAAGGAGCAGGAAATCCGCAACCGCAAGCCAGCGGGGAATGCGGTCCGCAGATCGGCATCGCCAACAAACTCCCGGAGCCGAACGCACCCCGGAGGCTCCCGGAGACCGGAACCGCATTTCTATCGTAACCAGGTCGTCGGTTTCCACCAAGCTGGGGGAAGTCAGACGGCGCAGGTCAAGACAGGGGCACGGCGATCAAGATGTGTGGAGGACGGCATATCTGCCTCGTTCACCCCATGCTGAAGAGGTGCAAGGCCGGAAGAAGTGGTGGAACCCGTTTAGAGGCTCATTTTAAGAAGAAATTTCGGTTCACGACTTGTAAAAGACCTGTCATTTCGTCCTTGAGAAAACACCACCAAACAAAGATTGAGGCCGGATAACCCAACTCAAGGATATCTGCGTGGCAGTACGAATAGAATTTCACACGGTATAAACCACACTGTCAAGGCTGCCACAGAACAGCTCGAATTGGCGAGCCCCGCAGTCCAAAAATGCCACCAAGCAATGAAAGTGCCCCGCCACGGACAGAACCTCACGACAGGACGTACGACACCATATTGAAGCTATCCACGACCTACCTTTGCGCACCACCCACTCGAAGACGGCGGTAGGCGGTGACGAAGACGACACGATCTGTAGAAGGATCACTTACTCGAGTCGTCCCGACCACCTCGTCGCTGACATCGTCATCAACCTCGCTTCACCCGGACATGCATTCGACTCCATAGCGCCGCCATCATGTCTCCAGATCCTGCCGCCGCTCTGAGTGCCTTGCTTCGTCAGGCCTCCATCGAAGACCACGATGAAATGCTCAAGGCCGCCAACGCTGCCATCAAGGCCAAGAAGAACGACGTCGTCAGCCTGCACACTCGCATTGTTGCCCTACTGAAGCTCGATCGCTTCGACGACGCCCTGCGCGCCATCGCAGAAGGCAGCACCGCTCTACTCTCTCGATGTGTCCTCGAACATGCATACGCGCTCTATAAGACAGGAAAGCTCGAGGAGGCCACCGAGGTTTTGCAATCTGCCGGTATCGAGAGCAGCCGGAGCTTCAAGCACGTTGCTGCGCAAGTTGCCTATCGAGCTGAACGATTCGACGAGGCACGCTCCTTGTACAGCCGCCTTCTCGACACTGATGCTTCTGATGAGGAGAACGATCTCGGAATTAACATTCGAGCTACCTTTGCGCAGTCTGACTGGCTAGGCTACTCGTCAGTGGATACACTCACGGTTCAAGACTCTGATGGTTTTGAACTTTGCTACAATGCTGCTTGTGCGCATATTGCTCGGGGCTCTCTTGAGACTGCCGCCGAGCTTTTGCAACGTGCTGCCAGGCTCTGCGATGCTTCTGATGATCTTACCCAGGAGGATAAGATGGCTGAGATGCGTCCCATTCTCTCTCAACAGGCATTTGTTTATGCGAAACTGGGCAAGCTTAAGGAGGCCCTCGATCTCTACAACTCACTACCGGGCTCAAGGTGGGTTTTCTAAACTTAAGCACACGCCGTGAATCCAGAACTAATCATGCCCCAAGCGACGATGACATTGATCTCTCGTTGATCACCGACAACAACCTGGTAGCTCTGGAACCCAACGTCGAGAACCCCCACTTGCTTAAACGCAAGTTCTCATCAGTGGCAGCAAAAGAAGAGCATGCCAAGCTCTTCAAGCAACAGTCCAACATCCTCCGGCGCAACAAGCTGGCCGTCGATCTTCAAGCATTCAAGGCCCCTGGTGTCAAAAGCCGCACCGAGGCTCTCCTTGAGGACGTGGTGCACCCCACGACTTCTGCCGACGCAGGGGTCCTCTCTGTCTTCAATGCTGCTGCAAGCTCTCAAGGAACCACCGGAAAGGAACTTCTACGGAATATTCATAACCTAGCGAAGAAGCGACCATTCGATGTCGGTCTCGCTTTGACTCTTGTTCAAATACAACTCGACAACGGTCACACCGGCTCGGCACTGTCGATCCTGGAGTCATTCCTGCAACGCCTCGAGAAGATCGAGACTCCCGAGGCTCTGGATACCCGGTTCAGCCCTGGCCTTGTCGCATTGTTCGTCACACTCCTGCGAGCCCAGAGCCGAGAGTCATCCGCCAAGGCTGAGCTCGTCAAGGCGGCGACACACTGGCAGTCTCGTCACAGCACTGCCACTTCGCTACTTGAGGAGGCCGGTATCGAGCTGATGAAGTCGTCCAACGCTCAAGACCTGCAGCTCGCTGGTTCTTCATTCCAGAGACTCATCAACGAGCAACAGGCCTCAGATATTGCTGCTGCCGGCCTAGTGGCATCCCTTGCTCCCTCCAACCCTTCTCATGTTGAGCAATATCTTGGAAACCTCCCCGCAGTTGACTCTCTCATCGAAGGCATCGACGTTACGGCCCTTCTCGGTGCCGGTGTCGCTACCGCGAGCAGCAAGGCTTCGCAGTCCCTCAAGCGATCAGCTCCCGAGTCGGCCGAGAAGACGCGCAAGCGCCGCAGAAAGATCCGTCTGCCCAAGAACTACGTTGAGGGCACCAAGCCTGACCCTGAGCGATGGCTGCCGCTGCGCGATCGTAGCTCATACCGACCCAAGGGCAAGAAGGGCAAGAAGAAGGCCGGCGAGACACAGGGAGGTATTGTCAAGGAGGAAGAGACACTGGAACTCGTAGGCGGAGGAGGCGTCAAGGTGGAAAAGGCGCCTCCTCAAAGCTCCAAGAAGAAGAAGAAGGGTAGAAAGTAGAATATCTCGTTTCAATGACTAATGATTTATGTTGATCCACAACATTGTCACAATGTCAAGGGAAATAGCAAGACATCAATGAACACTCTTTTGACTCTTGAACATCACCTTATTTCAACGACATCTCTCGATGCCCAAGTATATGTAAATGTAGCAAGGGGGATAGTGATGGAATTCTAACGCTTACTTTTTTTATATGTGCTCCGCCAAGATAGATCATGAAGCCCGCTCAACAGTCGACAAAGCAAAACAACACGGGCTCAAGGGACACCGCAATATCTAAATACACATGAATCCTCATCATGTCGGCTCGGCGTCCACCATCTCGTTGAAACCGCCGAGCCCCTGACCAAGGCCGTCTCTCCCCTGGTAATAACTCTTTTTTCACCCATCTTTGTTTGAGCCCTTGGTAAACGAAGGAAAAGCTCCAAGCCAAAATACCCCTGACAGCCCATTCCCAGAAAGAAAGAACGCTAAATACACACAAAGTACATGTCACACAAGAGCCTCCCGCTATCTCCTTTTTCTAATATCATGCGTTGACGGGCTGAAGGGGCTGGCTAGATCGCTGCTCTAAGCCTTGCAGAGATTCCGCGTCCGAGCCGCGACTCTCCAGATCGTCTCGTTTGATGCTCCGGCCCCTTTCCTCACTGGTATCATCACCTTCCTCATCTGTTTCTGTTTCAATGGGGGGCAGGGGGCTTCGTCGCCCATCAGAGAAACTGACTGCAACCTCGCTTTCAGTGTCCGAGGGGATCGTCAGTCTCCCGCCGGCCGAAGTGCTTCTAGCAGCTTGTGCCGTTGAGTATTTCCTGTGAAGCTCTCGGAAGCTTCTGGCGGTAGCCGTGCTTGCACTCGCCACTGACTCCCTCCGTTCATGTGATTCCATTGGCACACCAACAGCTGAGTAAAAATCATCATCCTCGGGGCCACTAGGCATAGGCGACAATGGCGGTTCCTGCTGCTGTGATTGCTTTCGAGCGCGGATCTTCTCGTCTTGGGACATATTTTGCAGTCCATCACTGAAATTGATGACGGATGCCTTCTTGCCGTGGACCACAAAGCTTCCTGTGCCTCTGGATAGCTGTTGGTCCTGTCCCGACTCCTCTGCTGATCCTGTGACCTCTCTACCTCGCCTGCTGTTGCGATGGTGTGAGAGATGCCCAGCGCCCTCTCTAAGGGTTCGCTGAAGACTTCGGCGGATCTTGCTCCTGTCACCCTTGTCAATAGAAGTCCCACGCTCGACGGTTCCGTCTGCACCCGTCGATATGGTTGCCTTATCCGAAGGGTCACGACTGGGTCGCGATTCAAGAAGGCCAGCCTGCTCCAAGAAATCTCGCTCATCAGCGTCAGGGTCGTGCTGGCTGCCGTGCTCAGACGACCGCGAAGGCTTGCTAGGTCGTTCATCATGCGATGACGGCGGCTTCGCTTGTGGAGTTGAGGGGAGTGATTTCACAGGGGACTGCGCAATACTCGAGATAGAGCCGTGCCTTGTGTTGCCAGCTTCCGGTCGAGTAAATGTGAGATCCCGCGAGCTGTGGCGACGGCGAGTGGCGCTTTGAGGGGGCGTCTGGAACACCTGATCCAGGGGCGAGTCCACATCCTCCGTGGCTTCAGCTGGGAGTGGAACATGGACGGCCTGGGGCTCTGTTGGTGTTCGGGGGCCGGCATCGCTTGTGGAATGATGCGTTCCCCGTGATCCCCTGCGTGTAGTATTAGAGCGTGGAGTGGGCGAACCAGTCCTATGAGGAGGCCGGTTAGGCTGTTGTTGGGTTGGAGTATACTCCGGGGTCGGGTGCTCCTCTTCAAGATCCTGGATCAGAATGTCACGATGACACTTGCATTTCCAGATCTCTTGGCGAGTCCACTTCAACTGTGCAGACATGCGAGCTGCAGCCGACAGGAGCTGCTCTCTCGTCCTCGGTTGGATAGGCGCAAGGATCTGCAGATGGCGCGCATTTCTGAGCTGATCGTCCAGTTGTTTCTGGGCCTCTTGCAGGCTCTCATTCGCCTCGGCAATCTTCTGTCGCATGACATCTCGCCTAGCAACCGAGATATCTTCCGCCATCTTATGGTCTATCCGGCTCCGAGCAATCGAGACAGGTCCTGTCGGTGTTTGAATGAGCGTAGCAGCGTCAGAGCTGTCAAGCCGTCGCATGCCTCTTCGGCCCTGTCCGTCATAATTCCCACCGATGACTCCCCGCATTTTGACTCCCGTTGTGCGGAAAGCCGCAGCGTAGTTGAGCTTGGCGAGCCAATCGTTCATCTCCTCCTCATTGTCCGCCAGGAGCACCTCTTCCAAGCCCCCCTGTCGCACATAGACAAACGCGTTCTTGTGTTTCTTGTATGTACCGTCCTGCAGAGCAACGGCACCGTGAGTCGACATCAGTGCGTCCGGTTTGAACTCCTCCAGCGGCGGTTGGAATATCAGCGGGATGCCATCATGGCCGGCCTTGATGTGATTTTCGTATTGGTGCATGAGAGATTTGACCCAGCCTGTGTTGCGGAAGAAGTAGAGCTGCGCCCCTGTGAGAATGGCACCCCATTCTTGCCAAGGAGAGCGTGCTTTGCGCTTCTTCGCATCCTTGCGCCATAGGAGGCCGACCTTGGTCACCTTGATATCAACGATGCCAGGGTGAGCTTCTGCAGGGTTCGTCGCTGTCTGTTCGGTCATGAAAGCATCCGGACGGGATCGAGCTGACACGATCTGTAGCACACCAGTCCTGAAGAAGGTCTTTTGGAGGTCCTTGAGGTTCAGGCTGGTTGCAGTGCCTAGGTAGTTGTAGTGGTCCTCAAGGTCCATCGCTTCTTTCAGGTTTGGCCTCAGAGCATCCATGGCTCCTTCTAGAATCACGGTATATGGATCTATGGGCTCCTTGATTGCCCGTTTAGTAGGGTCGTTGCTCGTCGATGAGATCAGAGGGTTTCGCCTCGATTTGTGTGAAGCAAAGCGGTCGCCATTTACGTCCAACTCGTCTTCGACATGGATAAAGGGGGTATAAGTGATGTTGTCATAAAAGCATTCCAAAATGTCGTCAAAAATGCCCTCCCCGTGCGTGTTCTTCAAGTAATCCGCCTTTTGCATCTTGTGCTTGTTGTTCTTGTTGAAAACGTCAGTATGAAGGATGAGTAAGGAAAATGCAATGAAATAGGCCTGGTCAGGAGATGAGTAAATCCCCGGGTTGCACTCGTGGTAGCGATTCGCAAAGGCTTGTAGACACCGGTCAATCTGCTGCGTCTCTTTGGGCAACTCGGCCTCCATGAGAAGCTTGCGAATCGCCATGTCCATAGGGTCGCCGAAGAAGCTAAAGCTGCGCATGTAACTCCTCAGGACAGATGTCATGAATGTGTCTGCGCTTTTCGAAAGGGTAGCGGCAATGATGCCTCGGCTTGCAACATCTTCGACGCGGACGAGATACTTGGCTGCTGACTCATCTTCTCGACGCTCTGGGAGGACGAATGACTCTCTTGCGAGTTGCAATGAATTGTTTTTGGATCCAATGGACCCGGGAGTTGTCGGTGTAAGAGTGCCCTGGCGACTGAGCTCAGAATTCTGGCGCAAGCGGCTTAACCCAAACAAGTCGCCGAAGCTTTTTCGACCAGTAGAAGACGATGTGCGAGTTGTCGGAGGTAAAAGATGATCATCGGTTGAGTCGCGGCCCATGGAACTCATGGTCGAGGACCTGCCTCGCAAAAGATTACCCCTAGTTGGAGAGGAATGTCCTGACTGATCTGCACCGGGCGCAAACAAGTTCCCCCCAGGCGACTGGGTTGGTCGATGGCTCTGCTCGCCCTTGGCGGTACTTCCCCCAGCCGTTCCGCCGCTCTGTGCGGACGCCGGGCGCGGAGTGGTGGAGATACCAAGGGAGGACACGGAGGATATCCCAGGGGGGGGCCTTCCTCTCTGTTGGAGATGCGCAAAGGGGAAGAGTGGCTCCGGTGGCTTCTTCGCCCTCCGCAATTTGAAGCGTCCAGTGGATTTTTTGGGCGTCGTCTCGGGACTTTGGTACGAGGAACTCTGGTGGGACAGGCGATCGTTGGAACTGGCATCCGATCGTGACGACTCGGATGGTCGGTTTGGCGGAGGTGTCAGCACAGTCCCGTTAGGACTGCTATGCGTCGCCGTTGTGGAGGGTCGGGGAGACTCTGGTTCCTCCAGTGTTTCGAGCGTAGGACGGCGCCTCTCGTCTGTAAAGGATTTGCGAAGTGTCCTCTGACGCCCTAAAGAACGATCGGAACTGTCATCATCACGAGGTATGTCTGTCGAACGGCGAAACCTGGCGGCCAGACTCATGCGGGACGGTTTCTTCTTAGGTCCATTGAAGTCGTTGGTAGGAGCAGTGGTGATGATCTCGGGTGCTAGGTCAACGTCAGCCAACTATATCTATATCTACCAGAGGAAGGAGGGATGGTTACGTCGCGGTAGTGGAGGGGGCTTCTCAGCCTGCTGCTTCGCTCGGAGAGACAGCTGGGAGTCGGAAGCATTGCGGAAGCGAAGGACAGAGAAGCGACGATGCTTGCTATTCTCTTCCTGGATCGGGGGGGTATCTGGACGGCTCTCGGAGCGGCTTTCTGGGCGGTTGTTGGTTGATTCGTCGGCAGGCTGGGGGTGAAGATGCTGCTCGTTGGGACCGTCATCATCATCACCGGTCTGTTCGGGTTGGGAGGGCAGCGGAGGAGGGAGGTCGCCGGAAGTGCTGGACGCAAAGTAGGTATGGCGGCGTATATCGGTCTCACTGGCCATGTTGCCGCGGCGGCGTAGGAAAGGCATGGCGGCGACTGCTCATGGTACGCGGCCAGCCCGGGCGTTGTCGAGATCGATCCAGGCGGCGTTTGGCAAGAGATGGGAGCGTGGCAGGGCGGCAGGCGTCTGACGACCTACCGAGCTAGAGTCTTGACCCAGGCGCGGCGGGTATCATTGAGGCAGCTCCAGCGCGTTGATGGCGATGATCTGATGGGAAAGTGCGGATAGCAAGGGGAGAGATGACGAGTGCGGGCGGGATCGCGAGGCTCGTGGTCGTAGATGCTCCGAGTTGTCTTTGATCACTCTGGTACCCTGATGCAGCGCCTTCCCACCAAGGCCCAGGGGCTGGGCCACTTTACAGCCTCAATTGGCCCAACGCCTGCTAGACTCCCATGTACAGTGCCAGCCCACTGGATCCCATGTGGCTGGGAGGTACCTGAAAGGCCCACCGTAAAAGGCTTTTGCGCGCTAGTCCCTCAGGTTGTTGATGTGGCTGGTGCACAGTGCATGCGTGTCGTCGTGTCCCAGGGCGAGCGTTTTTGGGGGCCTGATGATGGCGCGTCTCCGTGCAATCTTAGCGGTTAACAACAGTAAGCAAAGAATGCTTGGCTGGTGTTCCAAGCAGAATTCCTGTCCACGTCCCAGGAATCTGACAATTTCAGTGCCTATCAGCTGCCGCATGTGTTGACATTAACGGTGCTGTTCGCCATTTTAATGAGGCTGTTGAAACTATTCGCTTAGGACTTAGCTTGTCGTCAGAGATCAGAGCAATCTTAAGTCTCGGTGATCATCCAGACGTCCATTTCTTTTCACCACAACCACCACCACCTGGGTACCTAAGCGGAACAGGAAGCTGAGCCCAAGCGAGAAGCCCCCGCTCTCCGGACGACAGCATCATGCCAGTTGGCTCTCCTCCTGCTCCTGAGTGGGAAACTCGCAGGAGGGAGACAATGGGAGAGGACCAACGACGGACCTAAGCGCTTACAGAGGGGCAGGTCAGCCGTGGCTCTGGTCAATCTCGCACTGTGCCTATTCCACCCTTGTGCAGAGGCACATGCTCTTGAGGCTGTGCATTCAGCGACCACGATCCATCTCCAATTCCACTACGACATCATACTTGATCATCCATCGCCTCTCATATCCAACTTATCACTCCCCTTGCCGAGGGCTCGGTAATCCTCAGCATCGGGTACTTTTATTAAGAAATATCAATCGGCTGCGCCGACTGCGCTCTCCGTGTCAAAGATGAAGTTGAAGCTCCTCGCGGCAACATTGTTGCTGTTGCAGGCCTCCGACGCCGCCGGCATCGATACTCAACGGGCCAGCCTTAATTCCCACGCCGATAAGACAAACACTCGACTGTTTCCTTTCCTCACGAAGCTTCGCGATAATGCGATCGAGTTCATATTCGGGCGACACCCCACCAAGGATAGCAACCAGCCGCCTATCCTCAACCAATTTCGCGCCCAGTATGCCAACCAGCTCGTCCTTCGTTTCAATGTCACTACGTCCCACGAGGAAGGCGCCCTCGCCGATGCCGCTGCTCGACTATTCCTTGATGTATGGGCGTTTACTGAAGACTACGTCGATATCCGCATGCACACCGACGAGGTCGGCGCTCTGCTCAGCCTACTCCCCAAGTCGCTTCACACTTCGCATTCTACTCTGATCCCCGACTTGGCCGCCGCGGTCTACAACTCACTCCCAACCGATGGCAACCCTACGCGCTCCGACCCTCAGACCGTTGCCCCCAAGATCAATACTAATTTGTTGCCTGGTGACAACCTCTTTTTCCAGGATTACCAGCCGCTGGCGGTGGTGGTCCGCTGGATGCGTCTGCTTGAGGCCATGTTCCCGTCATATGTGGAATATATGAACATTGGCAAGTCCTACGAGGGACGCGACATTCCTGCCCTTCGTGTCGGTGTTCCAGTACTTGAACCAGATGCGCCTAGGAGGAAGACCATTATGGTGATGGGTGGCTCCCATGCTCGCGAGTGGATCTCGACCAGTACTGTCAACTATCTGGCTTGGTCTTTCATCACAGGCTACGGCAAGGAGCGGATGATCACCAAGCTACTCGACGAGTTTGACATTGTGTTTTTGCCAATCGCGAACCCGGATGGCTTCGAGTATACATGGCACATTGACCGGCTCTGGCGCAAGACGAGACAACAGACGAACCTTCAATTTTGCCGCGGACTGGATTTGGACCGCGCTTATGGATATGAATGGGATGGCTCACGGGTCCAGCGCGACCCATGCTCTGAGAGCTACGGAGGAGAGAAGCCTTTCCAGGCTACTGAGGCTGTCCAGATTGCCGACTGGGCGCGTAATGCGTCGTGGAACAACAACGTTCGATTCGTCGGCCTGATTGATCTGCATTCTTACTCGCAGCAGATTCTGTACCCCTATTCTTATACCTGCTCGGTCGATCCACCAAACCTGGAGAACCTCGAGGAGCTCGCAGCAGGCATTGCCAAGTCGATCCGGCTATCGAATGGAGAGTCATATACAGTGACCTCAGCATGCGAGGGTGCCGTATCAGCACGAGAATCCAGCGGAGGTCGGTTCTGGTCTCGCATCGAGTCTGGTGGCGGATCCGCGGTCGACTGGTTCTACCACGAGATGAGAGCTCATTACAGCTACCAACTCAAGCTTCGGGATACAGGTAGCTACGGCTTTCTGTTGCCCAAGGAACACATTATTCCAACGGGAGAGGAGATTTTCAACGCGATGAAGTACTACGGTGACTATCTGCTTGGAAACAATGGAATCGAGTGGTTCCCAGAGGCCGAGAAGAACCACAGGGCAAAGGCGAATGAGAAAGAGGCTGTGCCCGCCAGTGAGGAAGATGTTCAATTTAGTCAGGAGCTCAGGAGGAGAAGGATGCGGAGATAATGGTAAGACTGAACTCTTGGTTCATGGGGAACGGATATGCAACGCATGGGTCGGAACACGGGCGGTTGGTTATAGGTCATGAACTCTCGGTTTTGTTTATATCATGCTACAAGGTACAAAGATTGGGGCGTCCATTGGTCACTACACAAGGCAGGACTTGGGGAAAATGGCGCAGGAATATTGTGGGTGGCCTATTCTTACACGGAATCAAGTAATATTGAAACAACAACACCATGGTCTCTTTTTGCAACAGTCCTCCCTTGCTTATTGGCCCAGAGCGTAGCTGATGGAGGTGTAGGCGGCCATGAACTTGAGGATAGTATCGCAGAGGAAGCTTCCAATGGATCCTCGCATTCTTCCTTGGGGACCGCCAGCAGAGTAGCCAATGGCATAGATGACACGGGAGAGAGCCCAACCGGCGCCGATGGCAGCAGAAGCTACGGGGAAGCGTAGGCCAGAGATGAGGAGAGCACCAAGGAAGGAGATTTGGTTCTCAGTGAAGTTGGCGTGAGATCGTTGGGCTAAAGAAAGTCAGTAAGAGGGCTTCAAGTGAAAAGGTAAGAGTTTGCCACAACGTACCACAGTTGAACTTGTAGGCGAGGTCATTCTTCTCGGCCAAGTCATTGCTGGCGTAGGGAACGGGGTACTTGAGGCCGCTGGCCTTGCGGGCCTTGCTTGTGAGCACCACATGGAGAGAGTTGATGAAGAAGGTGGAGGTGGCGGCGACGAGGACGTAGCTCGAGGCCGTGTTAGTTGAGTTTTTGTTTGACTGTTTGAGGTGAAGCTATCCTTACCCGTACTCCTCAGGAAGTGAGATGGTGAGAGGCATGATGACGATTGATAGTTGTTGTTAGTTGAAGGAGAAGAAGGTTCTACAGCGTCAAGAGATGGGATTGTTGTTCCAGGAAAGTTGTGTGTACAGGTTAAACAGACTCGAGATAGTTACGTGGTCTCCCAGCCTTAAATATTCGCCAGCAGGCTTGTAAAACTTGGGTCCGCGTGGACCAAGATCTTCCCGGAGCGGGCCAGCCCCGGGAAGCTCCACCGAAGGAAAAGCCACAGAAAATGCTACAGGATTCGGCCAATGCTTGGCTCGTAATTTACATGCACGAAACACTCGTTTTTTCGCTCTACGCGTCGTATCAGAGCCTGCTCCGTGCCGCATTAGATGATACGTCGTCGGATCGTCGCCTATGGAAAAAAGGGGGTTAAGGGCGAGATGCCGACGCCCGAGACCCGCTCCGCCCGATGCCCCGATCATGACCATGACCTGAGCCTGGGGAAAAAAAAAAAAAAAAAAAAAACCCGAAGAAAGGCTTGTTACTCAGCTATCATGTAAGCGGCGATTGGCCCCAAAAGGAATTCGGACGTTAGATAATCGCCAACTCCAGTCTCTGGCTCCAGACGGCGGGGGGGTTTCAAGCGCCAAGCGCCATATCCCACACGGTTGCTTCCAAATGGCCCCCTGATGGATGCGGCAAGGTTGTGCCGACGGCCTAACTGAATTCCGGCCAAGTTTCCGATTCATTCTGTGGCGCTTGTTTTCTGTTATGCAGCGGGTTCGAGTCAAAGTCCGCAACTCCGTCTCAAACTCCGCACTATTCATACCCAATTTCACGAGTCATGTAGGAACAGGGCACGAGACGGATAACATGATCTAATAAGAGTGAGACAGTGTAACCGGAAATCCAAGAGTGTAGGGCAAACATACGAGTTCAAATAGCCGCCTAAATCTCTTGTGTGTCACTTGCTGACTCCGGCCGAGCTCTCGGCGCCGGTGCCCCACACATCGGCCCCGTCTCACCCGGTGCATCTCTCCTCGGGCGGTCGCCACGTCAGCCCGAGTCCTTCAAACACTCTCCGTTCCGCAGTCTCCATATCCGGAGCTCCATCTCCAGCGGGGCCCTTCTCCAGATCCACCCACATCCCGTCAGACCTACGCCGGACGCCGCTGCTATCAAATTTGAGCCCCTTGACCTTCTTACAGTATCGTCGGAGGTCTCGTTGGAACGTTGTTCCGCCGCTCCAGCCTAAAAGCGCGCATCCTACCGTTTTCCATGGACTAATTATGATGTCGACTCTTCGATGTGGTGCGTCCTCTTGGCTGGGGTCTTGCCATACAACCA